TAATTGCAATTTTGTTTTTGTTTTTCTGAGCAAAAAATAAATATCATACATTTTCCCCTGATTTACAGAAGAGAACAACTAAAATGTCATTCAGTGCAACAATCTTGCCATGCATATTTACAACAATAAATTTATGACATATTAAAAGACTAATTACTTTCACTATTCAAAAACGTATTTGAAACCTTAAAAGTAGACGCTTTACTTACATTTAATGTGCTTTCTATAGACATATAATCACTTTTGTAAATTTATTTTGATGCGGACATCTTAATGTCTTTGACCCATATATAAATCGTTAGAATTTATTAGGTAATAAAATGTTAATGTTAATAGATAATAAATTATGTTATATATATTTATATATTCAATTCAATTCAAGTTTATTTGTATAGCGCTTTTCACGATACAAATCGTTGCAAAGCAACTTTACAGCAAATTAAGTTTCTACAATATTTAGTAGTAGATTATCAGTGGTGACTGTAGGTTAATGTACTTATGGCAGAAATGGACAGAAAAATTAATTAAAGACGTTATCAAACAGACGATGAACACTATTAACAGCAATATCATTATGTTTTGTCTGGAGCAGGAGAAACGGCTACCCTTCTGTAAGAGAGAGGGACCCTATGGCCTCATCATCTGCCCTTCTGTAAGCCTACTCTGTCTCTGGCACATCCTGTGTCGTCTGCCCGAAATACAGCAGAAAAATGAGAAGCAGATTACCTATGTGTAACAAAACTATTTCACCATATTTCATTATATAAATCATAAGTCAGGAGGCAAACAGTACAGGCACCAGACAGCAACAGTATGGTCATTTATTTATTGTGTGTCTTTCTCTCCATCTGTAGAGAGAGCTGGCGAGACAGACACATGGTATCATTGAATACTACTGTAAACTCCTAGAGGATGAAGGGGCTCTTCAGTTGCGCTGTGCCCTGTGTATTGGGGGCATGTCTGTCAAAGAACAGATGGAGGTGGTAAAACAGTAAGTCTAAACTGTGTTTAAATTTAGTGTTTACATTTCCACGTTGTGACAATTGTACTTGGTCTTTATTTGGATGCTGATTGCTTTAGAAATCCCTTATAAACTTGCAAATGATTGTGTGATCGTAGTGGGGTGCACATGATGGTGGCCACGGTGAGTCTGGATATCTGCCGCTATCTGGCTCTGGACGAGGCTGACAGGATGATTGACATGGGTTTTGAGGAGGACATCAGGACCATCTTCTCTTACTTTAAGGTACTTTTATGCACATCTCATGATACTGTTTAGCTTATCCAATAATAGAGCATTTAGTCAGTAAATATAGTAAAATGTTACCCCCCCTTTTCAGTGTTTTCCTGAAAATGTAGTGTTTTAGAGCTAGAATAATAGTGTTTTAGAAGTAATGAATGAATTTTTTTTTTGTTTTGTTTTTTTTTGTTTTAATAACCAGAGTGCTTTTTTGCTTTAGGGTCAGAGACAAACACTGCTTTTCAGTGCCACTATGCCCAAGAAGATTCAGAACTTTGCCAAAAGTGCTTTAGTGAAACCTATCACCATTAATGTGGGCAGAGCTGGAGCTGCAAGCTTGGACGTCATCCAGGTGAGATATTAAGATTCATGCAAGGCCCAGCATTATTCTTTCCTCATGTTCCATTTGATCCTTGTAGTTGTTTTGTGAGTTTTGCCAAGGTGGATTTTTCGAGTATTGTGAAACATACACTACTGTTTCAAAAGTTTGGGGTCAGTAAGATATCTGTTTTTTATGCATTTTATTCAGCATTGTTGCATTAAATTGATCAAATGCAGTAGTAAAGATATTTATTTTATATTATATATATTATTATATTATTATATATTATATTTATTTATTATATTTACATTTATGTTTATTCTATTGTTTATTTCTATTAAATAAAAATCCTGAAAAAACGATTCCCGGTTTCCACAAAAATATTAAGCAGCACAACTTATATAAATGTTTTTGAGCAGCATATTAGAATATTTCTAGATCATGTGACACTGAAGACTGGAGTAATGATCCTGAAAATGCAGCTTTTCCAAGTTACATTAAAAAAAAAAACAATTATAAAACAGAAAACCGTTATTTTAAATAGTATTAATATTTCACAATATTACTGTTTTTAGTGTATTTTTGGTCAAATCAATGCAGCCATGATGAGCATAAGAGACTTTCAAAAACACAAAAAAATCTAAACCAACCCCAAACTTTTGCACGATATTGTATACTACTTAATCAGAACAGAAAGTTTTACTTGTATACATCCTGTCACTTTTAGGAAGTGGAATATGTCAAAGAAGAGGCCAAAATGGTTTATCTCCTGGAGTGTCTCCAGAAGACCCCACCGCCGGTACGTAGCTTCTTGCTCTTTTTAAACCACATTTGAGAACCCTACATAATCTCTTCTAACAATCACACTTCCCATATTGGTTTTTAGGTATTAATATTCGCTGAGAAGAAAGCAGATGTAGATGCCATACATGAGTATCTTCTGCTGAAAGGTGTGGAGGCGGTGGCTATTCACGGTGGAAAAGGTACAGACATAAACCATCTCAATCTGCTTGTAGCACAAACACCATCAATCAGGTTTAATGCGTGCTGTTTCCTGCAGCTACAGCTGCTCTCCACTGGGTGTCAGCTTCTGCTGCGTTGTGGCTCCTATCATAGCACTAAACCAGTGTTCAAACTATGTCTGAAGTTTTGATCTTGCTTACACTCAAAGCAGCCAAGTGTCTGTGGCTTTACTTCACCCTGATCATACACTAAATACTTCTGCTCATGTTACCTAAAATATATAATAGTTATGAATGTGACTGTTCAGCACAAAGGTAAGCAGCTCATACAGTTCAGCCACATTTACCTCAATAAACTTTACGTGTGCTTTTCAGACCAGGAAGAGAGAACGAAAGCCATTGAGGCATTCAAAGAGGAAAAGAAAGATGTTTTAGTGGCTACTGATGTTGCTTCGAAGGGTCTGGATTTTCCAGCTATCCAGCATGTTGTCAATTATGACATGCCAGAGGAGATTGAGAACTATGGTAGGTGTTCATATGATTGTTTTTTGGCATTATTGGTTTATTATTAAAGCTTATTGGCTTGTATACGCTACCTTTCAAATGTTTGAGGTTCAGTAAGATTTATTTATTTATGACTATCATTCAGCGGGACACATAAAAAATGATAAAAAAGTGTCTTTATAATGCTACAAAAGAGTTCTATTTCAAATAAGCTTTGAGCTTTCTATTCATCAAAAGTATTAAGCAGCACGACTGTTTTCAACATTTCAGCATAGCAAGAAATGTTACTTGAGCACCAAATCAGCATATTAAAATGATTTCTGAAGGATCATGTGACACTGAAGACTGGAGTAATGACTGCTGAAAATTCATCACAAGCATAAATTACATTAAAAGTAAATAAAATATTTTAAATAGCAATAACATTTTACAGATAGGGCTGTCGATTTAACACAGAGTATCATTTCATTGTTTTTTTTTTTTCATTTAACAATAATGACTCAAATTGATTTGATTTATTAGATTAATTAATTTACACACCATGTAATTAATTAGATTAACAATTTAATTGCTAGACAGTTCAAAAAGTATTTAGAAACCACTATTAAAATCAAAATATCAAAAAGTTGCATTTAATTTAAGTAACAATAGTACAAGACAAAACATCTGACAGAAGGTTATGCAACCTCTAAACCAACTTTAACTTTGAAGCCAACTGGTTAAATGTTGTTGCAAAAATGGATCAGAAAGTGAAGTTAGTTCTGAGAAAAGCTCCACCATAATTTAACTTCAGATGCCACTTGATTTGCATATATATGCTTACTAGGTTACCACTTGGTTTGCACATACACACACTACCAGTCAAAAGTTTTTTAACAGTAAGATTTTAAAAGTTTTTTAAATAATTCTCTTCTGCTCACCAAGCCTGCATTTATTGATCCAAAATAAAAGAAACCTGAAAAATTCTACTCAGCTGTTGTCAACATAATAATAATAATAAAATGTTTTTTGAGCAGCAAATCAGATTATTATAATTATTTCTGAAGGATCATGTGACACTGAAGACTGGAGTAATGATGCTAAAAAATCAGCTTTGAAATCACAGGAATAAATTACTTTTTAAAATATATTCAAATAGAAAGCAGTTATTTTGACTGGTAATGTGTGTATATACAGTGGGTACGGAAAGTATTCAGACCCCCTTAAATTTTTCACTCTTTGTTATATTGCAGCCATTTGCTAAAATCTTTTATTTAGTACTGTCCTGAGTAAGATATTTTACATAAAAGATGTTTACATTTAGTCCACAAGACAAAAAAATAGTTGAAATTATTAAAATAACCCCTTTTAAAAGTTTGT